TGGTGATTATAATAGAATCAGGGACATAGAAAGGGGATGGACTGACTATTCTTGGGGGGGAAGGGGTGTGGGAGATGCGGGAAGAGACTGGACAAAAATCGTGCACCTATGGATGAGGACAGTGGGTGGGGAGTGAGGGCGGAGGGTGGGGTGGGAACTGGGAGGAGGGGAGTTATGGGGGGGAAAAGAGGAACAAACGTAATAATCTGAACAATAAAGATTTAATTTTAAAAAAAAAGAAAGAGGTTAAAGAATAAAAAAATAAATAAATAAAATAAACTTTATACAGATATGCAGGTGAATAGAATTCCTAGCTGGCAGGCCCCTGACAGCAAGCTGGCCACCTGTGGATTCCGTGAGGAATGGGGCTCTCTCCTCCCTCCTGTCAGGGTCCGGGGTGCAGGTGAATGGGGTTCCTGGCTGGCAGGCGACTGACAGCAAGCTATTCAACAGCAGATTCTGTGAGGAATGAGGCTACCTCCTCCCTACTGTCAGGGTCTGGTTTGAAGGCCGGACTTAGTACTTCCATGCTCAGCTCCGAGGGCGGGTTCCTGCCTGAAATCTCGCCCTCCGGGAAACAGCTGGGGGAGGACACAGCCGTTTCCAAGACGACCCCTGCAGGACTGACTTCCTTCCAGTTGGTCGAGGTTCTGGACGTGATGTTACACCCAGGGTTTTTATATAAGTAGATTGGCAAAAGGTGCAAACAATTCAAATGTACATCAATATGGTAAACTAAATGTGATATATATATAGAATATTAATCAGCCATTAAAAAGAATGCTATTCTGATATATGTTACAGCACAGATGAACCTTGAAAAGTGAAATAAGCCAGACACAAAAGAACAAATATATATGGTTCCACTTACATGAGATACCAAGAAAGGGCAAATCCATAAAGATGAAAGTAGAATAGACGCTGTGAAGAGAGGAAAATGGTAGATATTTGGGAGATATTGTTTCATGGGTATAGAGTTCCTATTTGGGATGACAAAAAAGTTCTAGAAATGGTTAGTGGTGGTGGTTGCACAACAATGTGAATCTACTTAATGCTACTAAAATGTACACTTAAAAATGTTTAAGAGGATAAATTTTATGTTATGTACATAATACCACAATTTAAAAAACAAAATACTAGAATCAGGGAGTACCATAACTGCTTTTTATTTTCCACAATTCACTAAATAGAGGCTTTATGCAATAAGAAACTTTCTAATACTGGAAGAAACATATGTAAACTATACTTAAAAGATAACTTAAATGCTTAAATTTAGTCCTAGAGGACTATAAACTTAATGCTGAATTAGTGTATCTATTGATTTCAATACTTATTTCCATTAATAAAGACTAATTTCAATTAATCTGAATCTGTGCCAAGAAGAGCAATATTTCCACCAATTGTTTATTATCCTATGTACTCATACAAAATAAGAATGTATTAAACACATGCTAACATCCAATAAGGCTAATATTTTTTTTAAATATATTTTATTGATTTTTTACAGAGAGGAAGGGAGAGGGATAGTTAGAAACATCGATGAGAGAGAAACATCGATCAGCTGCCTCCTGCACACCTCCTACTGGGGATGTGTCCGCAACCAAGGTACATGCCCTTGACCAGAATCGAACCTGGGACCTTTCAGTCTGCAGGCCGACGTTCTATCCACAGAGCCAAACCGGTTAGGGCAAGGCTAATATTTTTAAGAGAAAAAATACAGATCAGATATCTTCATTTACCTGCTATTTTGCCTAAAAAGATAGTCAAGCACCATAAAAAGTCCTTTGAGCATTATTTGAGTTGAAGCACTAATAACAGGTACTTCTCTTGTCTCCTCTTTACCATGAACCATTAACATTTTTTCTTCTTTTTGAAGGACAGCAGAAAAATGTCCCTATAAGAAATTACAATATTAAGTATACAGTGGGGAAGTGTTAAGGAGTAAAACAAACTTTTCAAAGCTATAATGAAACCCAAATGAAATATACATTGAAATTTTAGGCAAACATTACTAATACACAAATGCTAACAATATGCTTTAGGTTCCCACATTATCTTCAAAGACCTTTAATAAAATTATATATTTAGGAGGTTCATTACATATTCAGGTATTCAAGATATTATTTAGTACCCTTCAAAATTAATGAACTACATAAAAATGTACTTACCAAATGGCATCTCCATGGAGCTTAAGAGTTGATATGTCACCTAAATGTCTGAATTATTTTCAGTGTACTCTGATACTCAAAATAATACGACTATATTACAAGAAAAATTAAATGAATGAACCAAAGCTAATTCTAAAATTCAAATGGCAGAGTAAGGCCAAGAATAGCCAAGATCATTCCAAAGGAAAAGAACGAAGTGAAGAGATATGCCTTACCAGATATATCAGCATTTTTCTAACAGTAATAGCACATATGACAGTTTAGATCAGTGGTTCTCAACCTTCCTAATGCCGTGACCCTTTAATACAGTTCCTCATGTTGTGGTGACCCCCAATCACAAAATTATTTTCGTTGCTACTTCATAACTGTAATTTTGCTACTGTTATGAATCATAATGTAAATATCTGATATGCAGGATGTATTTTCATTGTTACAAATTGAACATAATTAAAGCATAGTGATTAATCACAAAAACAATATGTAATTATATATGTGTTTTCTGATCGTCTTAGGCGACCCTGTGAAAGGGTCGTTCGACCCCCAACAGGGTCGCGACCCACAGGTTGAGAACCGCTGGTTTAGATAAACAGAATCATAGAATAGAGTTCAAAATTAAATTCACACATGAATGAAAAATTAGATGTGACAGATATGGCATTACAAATAGAGGGAAAAGTGGACTATTTAGTAAAGGATGAGAAAATTCACTATCCATACAGGAAATGAAAATGGATTCCCTACCTCACGAGATACACAAAAACAAATCACATACTCATAACATTTTGCATACTATTTCATAATGTTCACAGTATCCCATAGCCCACTCACGATCTCCATCCACCTAGGTTTATATAACCACTATACTGAGAACAAAATATAAACTTCTTACCTATTTATTTTCCAAATTTTTAACTTTTACAATTAACAAAATAAATTTACAACCTAAAAATACTGACTTCTTTTATCTTTGAACTAGTGGTCCAGCACGCGAAATCGCGTGAGACTCAGACCCGGGGGAAACTGCGTGATACCTGGGACCCCCAAGTCCCACCACGCCACGAGACCCAGAGTCAAGTCCCTGCCCACCGTGTGCGCCTTGCCACACACGCAGCCTCCTGGTGACCAGTCTTTGGTCCTTACGGCATTAGGGCCACTGGGTTTTTATAATATAGACTAGAGGCCCGGTGCACAAAAATTTGTGCACTCGGGGGCTGATTGGGTTGGGGCACCGCCCCGTCACACTCAAGGCAGGGTCGATGGGGAGGTTGCGGCGCCACCCCGTCACGCACAGAGCAGGGCCGCCAAGGGGGTTGGGGTGCTGCCCCCTGTCACTCACAGAGCAGGGCCGATCAGGGGGT